ATCAATTCGAATAAAGATCGTTTCAGCAGATTGCCAGGTCATAAGCCACAAAAGCCAATCGAGCTCGCTCGATTTTCTCGAACAGCTCGTACAGTTCGTACTTCATTGAAGTACGGGTCTGTCGTAGTCGCCACGATCCGTGATATAGGATCGAGCGAAACGACCATGAACAGGATATGACTACGTCTTGACTAGAATACGGCGAAGGATATGAATGACAAGAGTATTTATCTATTACCTTACAACGAAGATCGAGAACTATCAAGCTCCGTAATGCGGTTTCTTTTTTATTTATTTTTTCTCTCTCTTAAAACGGGTACTCGAGTTCGCAACGGATAGGCCGGCTTTCTCGTACCCGATTTATTAATTCGTACGTTGTAGGCCGACGTCTACAGAATTATTTTCTTCACCGTTTATATCGTAACGTGGAAGTAACTTCCCCTCTTTTCGAAACGCGTACAAAACAACGTTCGACAGACCAGAGAACTAGAACGACCCTTAACTTATTTTCAAGCCCGGTATCCATTTGTTGCAACTACTCGTTGAGTATCGTTCAGGGGATATCTGTAAGGTGTGATTTTTTCCCATATTATCGTTGTGTTTCTGCATCGAAACGGAGGATACAGCCTGACATCGCATTCTCGAGCATTTGTGGCGAGGAATTAGCGTGTTGGCGGCTACGTTATTCTTTGGGAGCTCGCGGCAACTTAAGAGGCGATCACCGAACTTTCTGGGATAATCTACTGTACTATGCAGAGATGAAAAGATGGCACTTCACTTGCGGCGCATAAATTTCACGTCACGCAATTTTAAATGACTCGATTCGTAGATATGTATTATCGCGTCGAACAATAATGGCAATACGCGTGCTCTGTTTCTACGATTGTGTTAGAGAAAGTGGGCCTATGGGGATGTAACCTAATCAGAGACCAACTTCTCATCTCTGCACAGTACAGAGCTGAGATGCTGACACACTATCTGCAACCTGAAACAGCATAGGGAAAAAGGAAATCGTCCACTCGCTCCAAAATGTTACTTTTAGGATTTTAGCGGTCATAATGCACAGTAGTAGGCACTCACTATCGCTGTATTTTACTCTGTCACGATTTGTTTCGTTACTCTAGATTGATCAATTCAGCCAATGATAATGTGTGTGAGTAGAGGTGTCGCTGTTACACTACAGCCACTCAAATTGACGGTGCACGGGTCAATTCCCCTTTCCCCTGTGCTGCTTCAGTTTGTAGGTAATGTGCGAACATCTCATCTGTGTACAGTACTTGTGATTAGGACCGACAATGCGACACCGCCGATAGATAAGCCGTTTTCGACGGCCAGACGGCAGAGATCTATGAGTGCCGCCTGATAGTATGGTGCGAGGCTCGAGAATACTTCGAGCTACCATTGTTAATCCGGATGTAGCACGAGCAAGTTAGAATAAAAATGCTTTGTCTTTTTATTGTATCCGTCTATCAAGCGTGTAACGAGACAACGGCACGCTCCCCGTATCGTTCCTCTGACGCGATCGCGAAAAAAGGATAAATGTCCGATCGAGCCCACTGTGTATCTTCGTATTAAATTTTGACACGCAACGGAGAAATGCTTGTCTGTCCTGTCGTGTTCAACCCCATCACTCTAGTCCGCTAAGATTCTCACTTTGGATGAAGGACAACCCTCGCGCCCCTTCAGGAAACTGTCCATCACGGATAGGACCTTCTTTAACCTCTTAGCTACGGCTGGATTTTCCGCGGCGCTGTTTTTGTACGACACGGTTCGACGTGAAATGCGCGTAAGTAATGTCTGGTGATGATGCTTTCTACTATGAAATTATATCAGAATAGAGTTATAGATGAATAAATTAAAATTTACGTATACATTTTCATGTAAAGAGTTTGAAAAAAGAACATAATAAGATAATATGAACACTTTAATAATACCGTTCAAAAAGATGGCATACGCGAAAGCCACTACAGCGGCGTACAGTAGCTAAGAGGTTGAGGACGACTCTAAATTAGGACCTTACACAAAAATCCTTCTTCCTTCGCATCCCTTCGGAAGACCAGTACCTTACATTAAAAACCTTTTACCCTGCATTCCTCGAAAAAGGTGGGCACCCTAGATAGGATGTCCTCCATCCAGAGATTCCAAGCTGAAAACTACCCTTACTCAACGCCAATTTACCCCAGTGCTGTCCAAACTCGTCTCTCGGGAGATAAACGCCGTCCCCCCTATCGTCCGCTGTTACCATGGTTACCAGACGGCAATATGTCGCGCGTCGCGTCTGATAAGCGCCCTTGACTACCGAAGCGCCAGCCTGTCATGGCCGTCTCCTTAGCGTCGCGCGGTTTCCTTGACGACGAAGCCACGCCCCGCAAAGGAATGGACGGAGGGGGGAAGCAGGCGCGCGAGGGGCCCCTACGCTGGACAGCACTGAGCCTATCCTAAGGGAGTCCTTAGAAGGGGCAAAGTTAGTCGGGAAAATGTAGTTAATAAGTGCGGAACGAAACTTTGTTCAAATTGTAATCCAGCGTAATTGTACGAAGTGTGAAAATAAAGTGAAACTTTTAACCAAGTTAGAGTCTAGTTTTTCGACAGTATCAAAACAGAGGATGCGGCCTGACATCGCATACTCAGGCATTCAGGAACGACGTTAGGTCTTAATCACGTCTCGCGCAATTCCTTTATATGTTATAATAATTTTTATCCGCAACAAGCATTTGTAACAAGTGGATACCGGGCTGCAGAGAACTAAAACGCGCGGGACCTATCGTTAGAACCTGCAGGCTAAGATCTACGGGTGTCTACATAGAAAACGGAGCAGCCAAACTGGCCAAGAATTCTCACTCGATCACGATACAGTTTTACGATCGTCGCGAGGATTCCGTTAATATGAAGATAAATCGTCGATGGTTTAGAAAAGTTACGCTCGACGATCTACCTTTGTGCGAGAGTCTCGACTTTTCGAACGACAGCAAGGATTTTAGAATGTCGGAGAAATAATGAGAGACTTTTTTTTTAAACGAGACATGATTTTTCGTTCTTTCTTTGGTAAAACATTTGAAGAATTGAATCGTATGAACGTTTGAAGAAATCGAATCGTAGAAAGAAATCGAGTTCCTACAGAACGAGTCCTTAATCGCTATTACTCTAACGTTTGGTACTTTCGTGGCGCTGAGAAGGTTTTAGCGTGAGGAACATTCTTTTTAAGATCCATTAATGTTTCTTAGGCGGTAGAGTAAATTGCAATAGAGACGGTAAGAATGGTGGTGGGCATTAATCTTGACGCAGAAATGCAATTTGTAAACGCAACATGACTAGATAGAGTTCGTTTATAATTAATCGGTATATAGATTGATCATTTCTAACATCCATCGTTTGATAAATTGGGCTCATGCCGGGCGAAGCGTCTTGAAATTCTGTGGGTAATAAATTACAGTTCACTCGTACATCTCGGAAGAGTATCCTCTGACTTATTGTTAGAGCTGCCTATCAATCTCACTAAATTCAACATAAATATATCGTTTCGTTTCGCCTAGATTGATACAAGCTTGCTCTGATCGTTCTGATAATAATTTCATCGAAATTGAACTTTCGCTGATTTTTTTTTAATCATCGTTGTCACTTGTAGTAGTATATGTTGCGTGTATGTGTGTGTGTTCCTTTTGCAAAGTTAAAACTTTCACGTATTTTTGCTCTTTTCAATTGTATATCTACGGCTCGTTTAATTACTTAAGTATGTGAAAAGAAAGCGTTTAAGGGCTCTTTGTTTCATTATCGGTAATCGATTTTTTCAGTTCTTTTTTTCTCTTTCATGGAACTCTTTCAACCGTAATCGCGTTTCAAACAAAAGGAGGAAAGCTTAAGGCTTGAGAGAACACGGATAAGAAGGTGTATAAATTAAACTAATTAGTACTTACGAATTCTTCAACCGTGTAATCACTTTCAGCCAAGAATATTTTTCTCATTGGAATGTTATGAATTTTCAAACATCGTGAAATATTTCGACGATTGTTTTCCCTCGAAATATCAATCTGTATTTTCAAGAAAAAAAATTCTTTCGCATATCTTCCTCGTTGAAATATCGTAACTTTCGGAGAGACTATGAATTTCGCTTGACGAAAATACGAATTTGTATCTCCAATGAAAAATCTGTTTCATATGGTTGAAGAATCGATACGTATATTTAATCATTTACGTTGAGTGAAATTTAAAGCTTCACGATCGTACAAGTATTAACATTTTGTTAATCGATATGGAAATAATTGTGGAAGAAATTATATTTAGAATTTCAGTTCTTCATATATCGTTCAACTATTTACAATTAATATATTGATATGTTTTGAAAAATATTTCAACAAATTATTCATATAAATTTCTTTCGTTCATATTTCAGTTCAAATTATATTACAAAAGGAAAAGAATACAATACTAATCTCACTTTTGATCTTTTCTACTATCAACATATTACGTTCCTAGAAATTCGTCTACAGACCTCCCACATTTACGAAATTATTGCACCTCAGAACACATCACAAACAACATTAACACGTACAATAAATACACAATTACAAGTCTCATTTGTAACTCTTCCAAGTACCAACAAGTTCTTACATAATTAACGACCATTTGAAAAAAATAATAATCACAGGCTACACATACTCCAAATCTAAATACATCACACTCTAATTAACGCTATACTTCTCCTCGCATCCAATCCTCATTCAAAAAACCCACCTACGTAATTGATAATCCTTCGAATTTTTCTAATTGAAGAAAAAAACAAGCCTTAATTCGAGAAATTTGCCGATCAAAGTATCTCAACGTTTGTCAATTTCCACGAAGAATTCCCATCAATCAACAAGCCGTTAATAAAGAACAACGAAAGGCCGAAAAGGTAAACGTAAAGTTTGGCGAAGTTCGCGATTATATGAAAGCCGAGTCGCTCGCGTTTCACGCGTCCAAGGAATTCATCGAACAGGCGACGATCGTTATTATCGGATTCCTTAGAAGCTCTCGTCGATTCCTCGGTCTCTGGCAAGGTTGAACACTTCGAAATCACCATCCGGTGCAACTGGTATCTCGGGTCTGAGAGCCACGCAGTCCCGTGGCGAACACTCGACGCGACCCTCCGATCCGCAGCTGCATTCAATGCAGTTTCCGGTCGAGTGCGGAAGTACCTCGCCCTCGCGGTATTCCCTTCCTGCAATCAGAATTTCGTGTCCATCCGGACACGGTATTTTACGTTTCACAGGCTTTTTTCTTTCGGTCATGCATAAGCTGCTTGAAAATGTCTCTGGTGGCCGGGCGAAAGAGTGCAAGTCAGAATTATTCATTTCGTAGAGAAGCACTTTTAATATACCGTAGAATACTTGTACTGTATTTTTGACGTGTACTGTTCGAATCTTAGGTAAAGGGGCGCGAAGGAAGTGAAATTGAGTGGGGGGTAGATCGAGGCGAATCGGATCATTCTCTGTTCGATGGTACGAAAATAATAGTCGAAATGTAGTAAGCTAATTTTCTATTGTAAATTCGTAATTAGTACTGTAGGAACTGACGGGAAAATATTGAGGGACAATAACGGGAATCGAATCCGAGACCTTCGGCTTAGCAAGCCGAAGCTTTGCGCGCTACACCAACCACTCCCCTCTATTCTCCCGTGTCGGTTTCCTATTTTTTTTTGGGTATGGAGGCCCCATACTACAGTACCCATTTAAACTTGGATCTTAATAATAAAGAACAAGGAAAAACTTAAAAATCTTTCTTTTACAAACAAAAATAGAAAAGTGAGAACCCCAAATTTTGGGGCGAATCGGAGAACCCAAGAATCTCTGAGGAAAACTCCAATTTTCACAAATAAATCTCTGAATTAACTTTTAAAAAAGTGTAATTCTCATTTGAATTTTCAAGCTTACCTTTCTATTTTAAATACGGAATTTCTTTATCTTATCACGTATCTTAGATTCGCATCAAAACAATAACATTGGCACGCGTTCGTCTCAATGGCAACGTGTGCCGGCGCTAAACGACGATTTAAACCAATTGATGGGTTTTATTGGATTAGGTGTGGGGCAGAGGGATGACATAATACGGCGATATAACAAACGCGGACTGAATTCTTATTCTGATCCGATTCGCCCCGGTCTACCCTACTATTAGAACCACGAGCAAAGGACAGCAACGTACAGTATATTATCCTGTTTGACACTCTTTTGTCCGCCCACCAGAGACATGGCAACGGGTGTGCAACTGAATTCTCGATTTATACGATCTTTCAGAACGTTTTCAAAAGTATATACAGGCAACCTTCTTATGTTACATGGAAACCGTGTTACAGAAGGGTTGCTTGCATACCCAAAATATGAACGTTATCCAATTACGATAACAAAAGGAAATTAAACGAGGCAAAGGTCAAATAGGCCCGAATTTATTAACAACAAACCGTCTACTGAATTAATTTTCATTGAGAACAGCGATGCAAAGACTTCTAACTGTGAATCGTCGATAAAGAAGGAGAGAGAACGCCGTTATTATGCATCCAAGGACAATTCCCTGTTAATTTCGCCAGAAACGGTGTGATGGAAAAATTCGTGCTATACGAGAGTTGTCCAAGTTAATTACGTTGTGCTATATGGAAACTGTGTCGTGAAAATATTGTTATCGAACTATGAAAACTGTATTGAACGTTATGGAAATTATTTGAAATGGTATACATATTTCATTTCAATGGTTTTCTCAAAAGGAACGGCTAGAAATCGCGGGAACTTTTAGGATGACCTAACAGTTCATCGTGCAAACCGAAAATTTTACGCGATACGTTGACAATTATTTGTTACAAATTTATTTAACGTAGTAATTCAGCTATTTAAAAAAAAAGAAGAAAAACTAATCGTTTTCTTAAACGATCGACAGTCCACGAAATGTTCACTTGTGTTACACGAATATTTAAGTTACCGATGATTCTCGACAGAAATGAGAAAACAACTTCGCCTATTTGCAGAACAATCGTTTATTGGTGGAAATAAAAAAAAATATGTTTCGGACGAGTTCCGTTGCTCTGCATATTCATATCGATTTAACCCTCCCATTACTATCTATAGGTACTCGACGAAGTCACTTACTACACCATCAAATCCTACAGGCACTCAACTTTTATTCCGTAATACACTTATCTTTTCCAACGAGCAAACGATATTCCTAGTATCAAGACGATATTTCTATTATGTAGAAAAGTTTCACAGCCGACAATGACACAGCTAAATTTATCCCACGTAATTCTTTCCATTTCACGTCTTATAATTAGCCGTTCACGAAATAATTATTAAAAAAAATGAAGAAATTTTCATTGTTCTAACAAGCGATGCTGTATCGTGGGAATGGAAATTTCGCGTAAATGTTTGCAACGAGTTGGAGTGTGCTGGAATTTAAAGCGTGACTGACCGGCCCCATAAGAATGCAAATTTTGAACATTGTTTATGATTTTTAGCGATATTTTTCACGACTCTATTGCGTTGTAATAAAAAATGTGAAAAAAATAGAGGAAGTTTTGTTACTTGTGTACATTAACTATATTGTATATTTCGTATGGTTCCGGCAAGCCGAAAGGTTGGACACCCCATGGGCCAGAGCGACAGAGGAGTATTGGGACTCGCGTGAGTACTTTAATCTCGTTGAATCCGTGGATTTAAGGTGTTTTTTCCAGCAACCACGTCGAAAATTTTCCACGTTGTAATATTCAGGATTTTTTTCACGGTCTTTATAACGAATAACAATATCAACTTTTTTCTCACTTGTTAAGGCACTTACGATGCATGCAAAGGAATTTTTTAAAAAGGATTCTAATTGTTTCTTTAACGATGCATCTGGAGGCAAAGATAGCGCTTTCAAAAAGCGATGCCCTCGCTGGCAGAATTGATTTCAGCTCACAGACTCACTCGAAACAAAAAAGTCCAGAAGATTCATAATCAGTGCGAGTACCGCTATCGCAGGTACCACAACTAGCCCCATAAGTCAAAACTGAACAAAATGGCATGCATTCAAAATTTAAGTATCGAAATTTTCCATTTTCTTTTCATTTGTTCGTAAAAAAAAATATGAAATTTCAAACACAGAAATGTGAATTTGACTCCTGCGAGAGACAATAGTACGCAGAATGACATGTTCAAATTTTAGACCGATCGGCTGATTAGTTTCTTTTATTCTACTTCCGCAAGTTGGAAAAAGAACGTTTCGAGAAAAACGCGTTTGAAGTTTGAGTATTAAATTTTCACGTGATACATATTCTTGCGATATACCACTGCAAAACACAGTCACGTTAAAAAGGGTTATACTACTATATTACAGAAAATGACAGTACAATAGAAACAGATAAGCTAAGTATAGTATTGCTCCAAAAGACCGCAAGAACCGAAATACATACTTCGAATTTCGCTTGCAAAAACTAAACAGTACACTCTTGAAGGACACTTCCCAAAATTGCAAAAAACCAAAAAAAAAACACGTTATCCAATTACGATAACAAAAGGAAATTAAACGAGGCAAAGGTCAAATAGGCCCGAATTTATTAACAACAAACCGTCTACTGAATTAATTTTCATTGAGAACAGCGATGCAAAGACTTCTAACTGTGAATCGTCGATAAAGAAGGAGAGAGAACGCCGTTATTATGCATCCAAGGACAATTCCCTGTTAATTTCGCCAGAAACGGTGTGATGGAAAAATTCGTGCTATACGAGAGTTGTCCAAGTTAATTACGTTGTGCTATATGGAAACTGTGTCGTGAAAATATTGTTATCGAACTATGAAAACTGTATTGAACGTTATGGAAATTATTTGAAATGGTATACATATTTCATTTCAATGGTTTTCTCAAAAGGAACGGCTAGAAATCGCGGGAACTTTTAGGATGACCTAACAGTTCATCGTGCAAACCGAAAATTTTACGCGATACGTTGACAATTATTTGTTACAAATTTATTTAACGTAGTAATTCAGCTATTTAAAAAAAAAGAAGAAAAACTAATCGTTTTCTTAAACGATCGACAGTCCACGAAATGTTCACTTGTGTTACACGAATATTTAAGTTACCGATGATTCTCGACAGAAATGAGAAAACAACTTCGCCTATTTGCAGAACAATCGTTTATTGGTGGAAATAAAAAAAAATATGTTTCGGACGAGTTCCGTTGCTCTGCATATTCATATCGATTTAACCCTCCCATTACTATCTATAGGTACTCGACGAAGTCACTTACTACACCATCAAATCCTACAGGCACTCAACTTTTATTCCGTAATACACTTATCTTTTCCAACGAGCAAACGATATTCCTAGTATCAAGACGATATTTCTATTATGTAGAAAAGTTTCACAGCCGACAATGACACAGCTAAATTTATCCCACGTAATTCTTTCCATTTCACGTCTTATAATTAGCCGTTCACGAAATAATTATTAAAAAAAATGAAGAAATTTTCATTGTTCTAACAAGCGATGCTGTATCGTGGGAATGGAAATTTCGCGTAAATGTTTGCAACGAGTTGGAGTGTGCTGGAATTTAAAGCGTGACTGACCGGCCCCATAAGAATGCAAATTTTGAACATTGTTTATGATTTTTAGCGATATTTTTCACGACTCTATTGCGTTGTAATAAAAAATGTGAAAAAAATAGAGGAAGTTTTGTTACTTGTGTACATTAACTATATTGTATATTTCGTATGGTTCCGGCAAGCCGAAAGGTTGGACACCCCATGGGCCAGAGCGACAGAGGAGTATTGGGACTCGCGTGAGTACTTTAATCTCGTTGAATCCGTGGATTTAAGGTGTTTTTTCCAGCAACCACGTCGAAAATTTTCCACGTTGTAATATTCAGGATTTTTTTCACGGTCTTTATAACGAATAACAATATCAACTTTTTTCTCACTTGTTAAGGCACTTACGATGCATGCAAAGGAATTTTTTAAAAAGGATTCTAATTGTTTCTTTAACGATGCATCTGGAGGCAAAGATAGCGCTTTCAAAAAGCGATGCCCTCGCTGGCAGAATTGATTTCAGCTCACAGACTCACTCGAAACAAAAAAGTCCAGAAGATTCATAATCAGTGCGAGTACCGCTATCGCAGGTACCATAACTAGCCCCGTAAGTCAAAACTGAACAAAATGGCGTGCGTTCAAAATTTAAGTATCGAAATTTTCCATTTTCTTTTCATTTGTTCGTAAAAAAAAATATGAAATTTCAAACACAGAAATGTGAATTTGACTCCTGCGAGAGACAATAGTACGCAGAATGACATGTTCAAATTTTAGACCGATCGGCTGATTAGTTTCTTTTATTCTACTTCCGCAAGTTGGAAAAAGAACGTTTCGAGAAAAACGCGTTTGAAGTTTGAGTATTAAATTTTCACGTGATACATATTCTTGCGATATACCACTGCAAAACACAGTCACGTTAAAAAGGGTTATACTACTATATTACAGAAAATGACAGTACAATAGAAACAGATAAGCTAAGTATAGTATTGCTCCAAAAGACCGCAAGAACCGAAATACATACTTCGAATTTCGCTTGCAAAAACTAAACAGTACACTCTTGAAGGACACTTCCCAAAATTGCAAAAAACCAAAAAAAAAACAATTTTTCGAAAAGTCTAGACTAAAATACCCCATGAAACGCAGTATGTTTCTCACACTGGGAATACGACGAACACTGGGACACCCGGTACATTATATTCACCGAATTCTCGAGCATTTCCTCGTAGTATTTCTCTGGAGGCATCGTAAAGGCAAGTCAATCAACGATACAACCTCCTAATATCCCCCACCCTCTCGCTGCTTTTGCATGGAAATCAGTTGGCGTGACGCGAGACTAATTGCACTGTAACTCTCTCTCTCTCTCGATTCTAACAGGGAGTAGAATTGAATGGTTTTGCGGCCGCGCAAAGAATCGAACGAAACGAACTGCGACTGATCTATTACCCATCACGAGACACGTAGTCGGCACGGGCTGCGAAGTAGTCGAGTAGGTCGCGTTAATCTCCGCGTATCCCTGTTGCTCGACAGAAGGCTCCTCTGCTGGATCACCGGAAGCTTCCAAACTGTCGACGGCATCCGTGCTTCCCTCCAGCGACGGCGTGTAATTACTTTCTATCGTCGTCGATGGGAGGAACGAGGGGCCGGCGGAAGGATCGGTGCTCGGATTGTAATTCTGCCACCAACAATATACTTCGCCGGCGACGCACAGACAATGAGAGTTCGGGTCGTACGACGGTATCTGGAACGGAAAGAGAAAATTCATACGTGCAGTCTTGTATGGTTTTGCGGGCTCGTTTTTGTGCGCGAGCCAGGGTGGGTTTTGCATGGGCGTGCACGTTGTTAGGCATATGCTTCTGCTTTTTTTCTTTCTTTTTTCTTTTAAATAGAGAGACCTTGGGGAGTGTAGGAAAGAAGGCAGTGTTACACCGTGGTAGACGGAGATAACGTGTCACCGGCGTTCGTAAGTATTGGGATACTTGCTGAGTGTGAAGAATAGCGAGATATAGTGAAGTATAGTGAAATCTACTGAACTTTACTCAAGAGCTACTGAAATTTATTGAAATCTACTGAATTCCTTATTCTACTGTATTTCCTTATTCTGTGATAGGACAAAGTGAAACGAAGTGTTTTGCGAAAGAACACCTTCAATTATCATCCTTCCAATACCGTTTCTGGAAACGGTACAATCTATCTAAGAGTGAAAAGAATAATTATTATTATTGAATAATACAACTGACGGGCTATGCCCTTTTTTACAAACTTATACAGCTAGTACAGACACATTTATACAATATTAATCTACATCGATTATACTTCAGCCATTCTAAGGACTTGTTGAAGATTCCTTTTGAGGGTGGCTACTGATGCATTAAGAAGGTCTACTTCATACATAAGGGAATTGTATAAAGTAGAAATGCGATTTACTGGGTCAGGTATACTGTATTTCGATTTGTGCGTTGGAATAATAATAATAATATGATAACAATCATATCTCCGCTACCTAAACAGAAAAAAATTAGTTTCGTTTTTAATTAGCAAAGGCTAAGTCTGAGCTCGATCAGGAGTTTCCACAGAGCTACGCGTGATCGATTCGCATTC